TCGCGTGTCTTCCCTTGCCAGCGTGTGTGTGGTGTGTGTGTGCGCGCGTGTGTCGTGCGTGCGCACGCGCGTAGTGTGTGGTGTGCGTGTGCCGTCGCGTGCACCGTGCGTGTGTGTGTGTGCATGTGTGTGCGTGGCGGGTGTGTGTGTGTGTGGTCCATGTGTGTGTGTGTGTGCGTGTGTTGCTGCGTGTACGTGTGTTGTTGTGTTGTGCGCTGCGCTGCTGCGCGCGCGTCGACTTCGGCTCAGCCCGTGTGTTGTGCTGTGTGATGTCGTGTGTTGTGTGTGTGTGTGTGGTGCGCGCGCGCGCCGCGTTTGTGTCATTGTGTTGTGCGGCGTGTGTTGTGTTTGTGTGTGTGTGCTGTGTGTGGCGTGTGTGTGTCGTGTGTGTACATCCGCTGCGTATATAACATTACGGAATATTTCACCCCGCAATCAACAGCTCACCTGGGATTGTGATTCTCTGGGCACATGCGGTAGCTGGCAGCTGTTTGCTGTAGGTCTTACGATCAACTGCCGCAAACAGGGTTCGTATTGAAGGTACAGATACATTCGTCGACTAGGGCGGAGGTCTACGACACGGCCCTCGACGAACTTGGTAAAGCTGAAGAGATGCACGAGTCATCTGATAAATTTAATTAGACGACATTAAATAGGGACGACACCAAGGTAGCGAGCAGGTTCGGGTGACCTTTATTTACACCTCTTTATAAGTTTATTAGGCATTTGCAAAAAGATTCGCCTACGTGGATTCATGGGGTTGCGTTATCATATATTATAAGGTCGAGTACGCGTGACGCGCTGGACCTTTATTTCTAGCGGTTTAAATCTTCGCTGCGCTACTCCTCTTATTGAAATATCGGACATTTGCGCGCATCGCCTGGAGGAATGGCAACGACGTAGAGACATGTGATAACCTGGGACTCAATAAAGTGTCTATAATTGATATAGTTCAATTTCAAGATGAAGCGATTATCTTCGTGTATGTGCCCACTATGACAAACTAACATTATGTGCTTACTATACAAATAAATTTAGTCCACACCTACACATGTACACTTGTATCTTGATTATATATATATATATATATATATATATATATATATATGATATATGTTATATATTATTTTATATATATATATTCTTTATATATATATATATATATATATAATATATATACTTTAATATTATATATATACAAATCGCATTTTGTACCCATAGCAAATACATTATCTGGCCCATGTCAAATGCTTCATGTTTGCTACCAATTAAGAAACAGACGCTTACCTTGAATTTTCCTGCAGCGACACCTTATCTACAGCGTGGCTATAGGGTGACTCCGTTCACTGCCACACACGGGGTCGGATTTCCTCGAACAGAAACACGGATGTCCACAACGTTGTCGCTACAGTACATATGCGTACCATAAAAGCCCCTATATGGGTGTGTGTATCCAGTGTACGTGAGGTCAACGTGGTGAATCACCACCCCACAGTGTGCGGATCTCAAATCAATCGAATTAATGTTATCGATTATTACCTTTGCGACCGGGTCTACACAAGTTCATTTAGGTACAAATTTTATTTACGTTTATGGACAGAAAAAAAATAGTTTACGTTTCGTTGTACTTCAATCGATCAGTATTCACGAAAGGAGCTATTTACGACTGGGGAAAGTTGGTAAGACATTCCAAATTACTGATTTACAAATTTTTCGTCAAGCGTTGAAGTGATTATTAAATTCTTGAATTCGAATGAAAAGAATTTCTCATAAGAATTAATACGTAGGTTAATGCTTAGTTGATGTTGATTCTAATCGAATATTTCCGTGAGCACCTTAAGTGAATCATCTCAACATACCTCGGGGCAGTGCCCTTCATCCGAATGCCTGTGACTGGGATCAACGGTGAGTGGCAAAGACAGAGTAGGACTACCCGCTAGCTTATATCATCACCTGTATAGGTTACTGTCGGTAAATAACACTCAGTTAATAGGATCAGTATATAAGTTATGTTATATATCAGTATATAGTTATTTATATGCAGGTATGATCGTAGTTAGCATATCAGTATATAGTTTAGTTCTATATATCAGTATAATAGTTAGTTATAATAGCAGATATAGTTAGTTTATATCAAGTATATAGTTAGTTATATATCAGTATATCAGTTAGTTTTAGCATTATATTAGTTATGATAGTATAAGTTGATTATCATATAGTTATTCATGTATATAGTTATTATATATCAGTATATTATAGTTTGTTATTAGTTATACATCAGTATTATAGGTAGTTTATATCAGTATATAGTTAGTATATATCAGTATATAGTTAGTTATATAGCAGTCGTAGTTAATAGTTATAGTTATATATCAGTATATAGTTAGTTATAGATCAGTAAAATTTATTATATAGAGTATATAGTTAGTTAGACATCAGTATATAGGTATTTGTTTTAACAAAAAAATTTTTCAAGTTAAATATTTTTAAAGGTTCCCCCCCAGTTATTTTTTTTAATAGATCAGTACATAGTTAGTGTATATAGCAGTTATAGTTACGTTATATATCAGTATATAGTTAGTTATAAATCAGTATATACGTTATGTTATATATCAGTACTATTAAGTTAGTTATATATCAGTATATAATTAGTTATATAGCAGTATATAGTTAGTTATACATCAGTATATAGTTATACATCAGTATATAGTCAGTTATAGATCAGTACATAGTTAGTTATATAGCAGTATATAGTTAGTTATATTCATGTATATAGTTGTTATATAGCAGTATATAGTTAGTTATATAGCAGTATATAGCTAGTTATATATCAGTACTATAGTTGTTATATATCAGGATAGCAGACTAGTGATATATTTCAGTAGAATTGTATGCTCAATTCGGGTGGTCGCCTGCGTATTAATATATACGACAAACTTGGCATTGCGCGTCTAGTCTGTGTCAGCGCTGTCCGTCATATTTACACACGTTTGAACTACACGCGACCAAAAAAATAATCGTAAAAAATGAGCTTAGGCGGACAATTCAAAGGGGGGGACATTCCTTCTGGTATCATTCAAACTTTCAATCGCTGATCAGGCGTCTCGTTAGTAAATAAACTGTTACTCTATCTTAAAACTAACATTTACTGCCTTGTAAAAGATACACAGATTTAAGACTCGAGGTTAGGTGGGTGTTGGACGCGCATTGAAGCGCAAACGAAAAACGCTAACATACGGTTCTCATTTTTACCCATTAGTTCTTATAGTTGACGTTCTTCCGCTCCTTGCTTGTCTGGGGGTGTCTCCACGAATAACGCTGCTGTCTTCTGAAGTGTCGAAATCAATAGATATATTTGCGACGGCTGATAATATGGTAACCACTAATATTAGAGTCCCACGTACACCGAACACCTAGGGCACAGGTGTGGATGTAGGACGCACCATGCAGCTTATATATACATATCAGGGGGTGAGGATGCGTGAGGCGGACCTGGGATGACGTGACACACGTCCCGGATTTAACTGACACAGTCTAAAATATATTACAAACCGGGATTAAAAAACGCGCGCGGCGATGCTCAAACCGGTTAACCCAAGGTCGCCCTAGAATTTCGTTTGTTTTCGAGTTCTAGAATCCTTACGGTGACAATAAGCTGCCGTCTGCTCGAGGTCGTCGCTTGATGCAGTAATATTGTATAACTCTCACTGCACGAGTAACAGCTAGTGCGAGCTTGCTTATAAACTTGATCACGAAGAATAGAATATGATAAACCCGATGTGCAAAAACAAGAATTAACCCGCAGGTCTGCCACTACTAAAATTACTAGCGCCATTATTAATTATTATTAAATACAAATGAATTAAGCGCCATTGCTCCTGGTTTTGACCCCGTGTGGCGTTTCTTCGTAATGAACATATGAAGCGTGATATATTTTCTTCTTGATATTGTGTCAAAAAATTAAGCGTGCTTACGTTGGTTTGTAGAGACATATATAGGCCTACGTTACTGCATACACATTGACTAGAGCGCATTATATAGCTGCAAAAAACCGTACAGACACATTTGCGCGCACGCAACTACGCCTACACCAACGCACCACGGCGCTGCACACACGCGGCGCACGCACACACGCACGCACGCACGCACACACACACACACACACACAACACACACACAACACACACACACCACACACACACACACACACACACATGCACGATACAATAAATTACGTCAGAGAAAGGCAAACAAAATCTAGGACGATCGTCAAGGTGTAAATTTGCGACACTCGTGGGGAAAATATGAAATCAGGATACGAAAAACGTCAGCACGTTCCGCCCGCCTTATGTATACGCAATTTCTGGTAAAATTTTCTTGAGACGAAGGTGTTTAATTCTGTGCACGCTTGGTGGCATCTCTTCTTCTCTGTTTTTCACACCGTAACACGGATCTTTTGGTTAGATAGCTATAAATAGATTGACTTGCTCGTCGACGTATGACGGCATCGTGAGATCAGTTTAAGTCACGACCGCATTTTATTTACATTCTAGATCAAATTGACTTAAGCCGAAAGTTTGTAATTCTGTGCACGACTGGTGGCATTGCATCTTCGCTGCTTTTCACACCGTAACACGGACCCTTAGGTTAGATAACTATAAATAG